GAGGTTTGATTTTGTTTGTATTATTGATGTACCTTGTTTTATAATGTAAGAAGTGTGCTTGCTCCTTCCTGAAATTTATAAAAATGTATTTCTTGGGAAAGAAGGACCATGAAGAAGAAAGGAAAATGATTATTTTTGGCAAAAAGTCTAGATTTTATAAGTCTATTAATATAAAGTCAAAATAGATGAGTAAACTTTAAGGTGAAAAGTCAGAAAGTGGTGACCATAAAGGTTGACACACTGGTCACTTTGGGAGGTGATAGGGAGGGTAGTAGTAGGTGGGAGGGGCGTGAGAAGGAGGCTTTGAAGAGTAGGTAATTTCCTCTTCTGGGTTGTGGTTACATGAGCGTTCATTTTGTCATCATTTTTTTTAATAATGTCATTTTTGTTTCTGCACCTTTCCATTTGTGAGTTTATTTCAAATTTCAAAGGTCAACAAGAAGGGCTGTGCCTCAGCCACTAGATCCTTCAGTTGTATGAAATTCCACTTGATTGTTTTCTCACCTAATGAACAAACAATTCAAGGAAAGGCCTGCTGTAGGTAAAATGAAGATGGAGGTGAAGTGTAGCCCCAGATACTTTCTTGTCTTGTAAATTATTTAAGAGTGACAAGTTGAACTCGTTTCCATATTCATTTTTACAAATTAATCACATTTAGTTCTCCTCAGATATTTTTCTAAAGTAAAATTTAAAAAAAAAAAAACTTTCAGAGGCACCCATAAGAAGTAGATCTTTAGAATGCAGTTTTAAATTCCAGCTGTAATGAATTCACATTTTTCCCTACTAATAACTTAGGGGGGAAAGAAAGTAGCCACAGATCTGGGACATAGTACAAGTAAATAATCCTGATGTGAGAGTTAGGATGGGGAGTGTTCACCATCAGGTATAAAGGGACCTGTCACAGCACTGAGAGCACTGGGTGACCCTGCTGTGATAAGCAGCATGCTGACTGACCAGTCCTGATTCTAAGGTGTGCACATGAGGGTGCATGTGTGTCCAATCCGTTACAAAGAACACAGGTCCTGAAGGTCTCCAAGGGCATGCTAATGGTAAGATAAGTAGGCACCACAGAAGGTCTGCGTAGGGCAGCTGTGAGTCACCCAGAAAATTATGTAGCTTACAAATAGCAAGTAACACCTGTTTCCAGTCCGGGGAGCTGAGGAAGGAAAGCAGCTATGAGTATTTCTGTCTCACGGAAAATGATTGGCCATTACAGGACAACGTTCTTCTTCCTTTCCCTCCTGTTACTGAAATGAAACTGTGTGAGATGGGAAGGAGTCACCAAGTGGTCTCTACTTTTCTTTCAGCAAAAGGAAGAGGACCATTTCATGCTGTGCTTTGTTTTAGTTTATTCTACAGTAGTGGGGAATGTTTTAACAACAGAGATCTCTTCCTCACAGCTTTGGGCACCAACAGAGCCAGACTCTAAAGAGGACTCATGTCCTTGTCCTTACACACATGTCAAAAGGGGGGTGTGCTAGCTCTCTGAGATGATCCCATTCACGTGGGCTCCAGGCTTACGGCTTGATTACCTCCTAGGACCTCCATTTGGGGTTAGGAGTTCAATGTGTGAATCTGGGTAGGACACTGTGTTACTTACGTTTCTTATTTCTGTTACAAAATACTTGTCAGAAGAAACTGGAGAAAAGGATTTACTTTGGCTTATAGTTTAAGAGGCAATATAGTCCATTGTGATGCAAAGACCTGGAGATGGGAGTGTAAGGTGGCTGAGAGATTGCTGCAGCCACAGTCAGAGAGCAGAGATGACAAATGCTAAGTAGTGCTCAGCTTGGAGTCTTTTGTTCCGTTTTATTCAAACTCGGCTCATATGATAGTGCCACCCATGGTCAGGGGTGTCCCCCCGCCCCCACAACCTTACAGACATACACAGAGGCATATCTCCTAGGGGATTCTAAATCCAGCTAAGTTGACAATAAAGATGAAGTATCACAGATGCAGTTAGATCTTAGTAACCTTTAACCTACAAGCCCTTTGAAACCAGATATTCCCAGACTGAGCATCCTTGCTGAGTTCACTTTGCTTTGTTTGAATTCAGTGTAAGGAAAAAAGATGGGGGAACGTCTCAGATCTCAGCTGAGCACTTCCCCATGCCAAATGAGGACTCCAGTCATCTGTAAGGACAGGCACTTTTCTCTAGTACCTAGAGGCCTCTGACATCTACTGCAGAGTGGGCCCAACATGCAATATTTGGAAAGCAGTATGTGTTGTATGTTTAGCAGAGTTGCAGTGCTAACAACAGTAACAGTGATGGCATTCAGCAGCCAATGAACTGCCAAGCTCTCCTGGGTGGGACCTGTCAGTTTTTCCCTATTAACAATGGACCATCAATAGGGATTGCAGAGGTCCCTAGAAAACACAGTATTAAGAACAGAAAATTTACTAAGTCTGCAGGTCAGTCACTTAGAAGATCTATAGTGTCCTAGCCTGCGAGTATTCTGCCAGCCTATGTTTGCTGTGACACCAGCAAAGAATGGCGCATGCTGACACCATTGCTGTAGGTTTGTATGAGAAGAGTCCCATGCGCCTGTAGAGCTATTTCTGTGTGGCCATGCACCTCCTCCCTGGCTCTTACAATGTTTTCACCCCCTCTTCTGCAGTGGTCCCTGAGCCCTGGGTGGGTGGACCTCACTATAGGAGTCTTGTCCAAGGACCCGCACTCTGCCGACTCTTGTTCTCTGCATTTTGGCCATTTGTGGCCTTTTGTGTTCTTGGCCCTCTGTGGAATGAGGGAGCTTCATGCAGACTGGGCAGACAAAAACCCTTCACAGAACTGTGGAAATGAACAGCAAGCCCCAATCTTAGTTGAAGAATTATTGGCAGCTGATTACTGCTGGGTGAGGAAGAGCTGATCTTCTTGAAAAGAAAGACTCTAGATAAGCTGACTAAACCGCAGTGGATGAACTTGCACCAAGGGACATCTTGGAACACTAACTTTACTAACTTTACATATAGGCCTTACTACAAATGACAGAATGTATGAACTCTGGAGGGGCAGGGGGGACTATGGGAAGGGGAAGGGGTATGAAGATGATTTTATGTATGAAATACACAAAAATTCAATAAAAAATTAAAAAACAAAAAATAATTGATTGCCTCCAGAATTATCCTCATCACAACCATGAAAAATTGCCTATTCAGCATTTAACTGTGCATTGAATTCCACCGGTACCCTGAGAGAATAACCCAGAAAATTGAGGGCTCAATGTGGAGTTTTCTACATTACCCCAAAGAGGAGTTGTAGGTATCCCTGGGAGTTCCCCTAGTCCCCTAACAATGTAGTTCCTCCTTGCTAAAAGATCAGTTAAGATTCATCTTGAGAGCATTTTCACCCCTTAAGGGCACAATCCACTTTCCTTTTCTAATATTGTATATATATAATATATATATAATATATATTATATCTACCATTTTTACCATGCTAAAAATGAAGAGAAACATTTAAATGCTTATTTAAATTTGTTCCAAATAATAATAATAAATCCATTACATATCAACATACATAGTGTTTTTATAAAAATAACCTCGCTTATCAAAACAAATTAAATAGAAAGTGGTGGAATTTTAGACTTTTAAATAATCTCTGTGACTAACTTAATATAATTTACCTGGGCTTCCATGTCTACTTCTGCCTTGTTGGTTAAGATTAAGTTGTTTTGACTGAAATGTGAAGAAAATCTGGCTATACACAGAAATGTGTGAAAAGATGGAAGAGAGTGATTCATATAATAGTCTTCAGATTATTAGAAATATTCTTTTTATCATAACACCAAAACTCAATAGTGCCAACTTGGCATTACACCGAAACCTTTTCATCACTACTAATGAAAAGTCCAAAACCAGATCAGTAAACTTTCTAGATTCTGTTACATTAAAGGTCATTGTCTTGTACTTTAAGTAGAACTTTAATTGATGTAGAATTTTAGGACAACATGCCTTAGTCTCCAAGAATTGATTGGTTTATTGAGTTCTGAGATCTTCCAAATGAGAAGTAGAAAACTCCACTATACATTCATGAAAATGAGCGAATAAAGCAAATGATACAGTATCATGACAGGAGTAGTTCTAATCTCAGAAAAGCCTAACGGGTTCTGAAGAATATTCTATGTAAACTACTCATCCATACCCATACCATCACCTTGAAAAACTTTCAATACGATTGGTAGTGTGCCAGTGAATGTTATATGATTAGCTCTTTAGAAAGAAAGCATCTGCCACTTCTGTGATGGACTCTCAGCACGGCTACCAACACAACATCATTAAACAAGTTGCATAGCAAGATGTGAGCAGTTGGTCCTCGGAGGCTGGCAGACACTAGCGTAACATGTCACTGATGATGTGGACCCCAGTTCTCAATGGAAACTGTCAAATAATTTGTAGCCAGTTTGTTTTAGCTTCCATGGTCTGTGCTCTGATTATGGATCAATTTAACTCATAAAATGCAACACTTCTTCCTAGTCAGTTGTTCTTCGTTACAGTTTTAAACAGTAACCGTCAGGGCCCACTATCTGGTTATCCAGATGAGACCTTTGAGTGTTAGTTCCTGCTGAAGACCTGTTCACTGAAGGTACAAACTTCCTGCCCCTTACATGTTCAATGTACTATGCTCATCTTCCAGTCTGCTTTTCTGTTTGCTGTGATAAACATGATGAAAAGAAGCTTTCTTTCCACTTACTCTTCCAGGTCACAGTCCATCACTGAGGGGAATCAGGACAGGACTCAAGCAGAACTGAAGGAGAAAACGAAGAAACCCTGCTTACAGGCTTGCTCAGTAACCTATGCTCAGCTGCCTTTCTTGTCTAGCCAAGATTCACCTGCCTAGGTATGGTGCTGCACACAGTGGGCTGAGCCCTCCCACATCAATCTCCAATCAAGGCAATCTCTTTTTATTTTTTATTTTTAAGGGTTTTTTTTTTTGAAGATTTCATACATGGACAATACATTGTCATTGTATTATTCCCATTCCACCCAGTCCCCTGTCAGCTCCTCCCATGTGCTCCCACTCCATACGACAATCACCTACAGACATGGCACAAGAGAAACTGATCTGGGAAATTCCTCATTAATGTTCCATCTTCCCAGGTGACTTTAAGTTGTGTTGAGTTGATAAAAATAAATTGGCATAACATCCAACATACAATAGTGAAACATGACTAAAACAAGTGACTAGAAAGCACAGAGGTACAAAGCACACACCAATCCCAGATCCTCAGAAGTTCCAGCGGTGATGTTACCAGCTTCTTGATTAGGGCCAGGGGCATCTCCTGATGGCTGACTTTTCCTTGACCCCACTCCCTGGGCTCTTGATTCTGCCTCTGGGTCACTTCTGTCCCACAAGAAACTATCTATTCATCAGATATCACCTCAAGGCAATTATATTAGTAGTCTTTCAGTGGATTCTGAATAGAGCTTAAGTAATTTTATATATATACATACATATATATAGTGAGAGAGAGATACGTGATAAATTTTATTTTGATACTTAAATCATGCATGTTGGTATGCCTCACTTCTTTTTATCCCTAATTGTATATCCTGCACATTGTTTCCTAAGAACACTTATAAATCTACCTCTGTCTCACTCCCATTCACCTCCACTCCCAACCAGTGGCCAGTTTATTTTATGACTCATTCCCCCTTTGTAGAACTTCACTTGGATGAGCTCTACACTCCCACTCTCTATTCTGTACTTCTCCAGCTCTGGTCTTCTTCCTTCTAATGCTCACCACACTCTATGATAACGAACAGCTGTATTAACTCTGCTTATTTAATACATGTCAGACTACATTCTAATACTTCATAGGTGATATTCACATAAACCTTGCAGTGCCCTATGAAGTAGGTACCAGTAGGGTATGGAGTGCTCTAAGAGTCACACAGCTGGAGATAATACAGCTGGATTCAACCTAGATCCTATAATACAAGCATCCAAGTTCTTTATTGATTTGCTATGCTTTCTAAGTGCTGTATTCATTAATAAGTGTTTAATATCTAGCTTTCTCACTTGAAGGTAGAAATCATATTGACATGGTCAAGTCCCCTAGTTGATGCCCAATAACTATTTGTGAATTGAATGCCAGTAATGATACCACGTTCTGGACATTTCCTGCTGTGGGTCATTGTGACACATAGTTTGTGATTCATTACTTTCCTCATATTGCAATAAAATACTCAACAAGAAGCAATGGAAGGAAGGGTTTATTCTGGCTTACAGTTCAAGGTGGTATATTCCATCATGGCAGAGAAGACATGGTGGCAAGTACAGATGGATAGCTGCTCCCATTTCATTGGTAGTCAGGAAGCAGAGAGAACAGGAAGTGAGGCTATGCTATAAAAACCCAAGACCCACCCTAGTGACCCACTTCCTCCAGCAAGGTTCTACCTCCTCAAGGTTCCACAGCCTTCCCATATAGTCCTACCAGCTGTAGACCTAGTCTTCAAACATATGAGCCTATGGGGGACACATCCCATTCAAACCACGTCCTATTTAACCCAGCAACTCTAAGATGATCCCAACTTTATGGTAGGGGAAACTGCAGCAAGTTAAAGAGTCCAGTTTCAACTCAGGTCTCTCTGATTCTAATGTATGCCCTTAACCTCTATGCCAGAGCCACCACTGTCTCTCAATCCCATCAACCTTTTCCCTTTCTGAAATTCAGTCAGTCCAGAGTAACGAGAACCAGTTCTTCCACTGCAATACACTTGCTCTAGTTCCTTCTATTCAAAAAAGAGATGTATGATACTGTAAATCCAGTCAAAAACGTATCGCTAAGGAGGTCTTGGGCCCTAGGGGGCAGGGAACTTACTACAGTCATTTAACTAAATTGACAAGGTGCCAAAGTGCCTTCTTATGTTTCTACCTAGAGACAAATGCTGCTCTCAGCCTTAATCAGAGAAGCCTCTCTTTGCAATGAATGATGGTGAATGTGGAGACTCATGGCTGGTCAAGGTGTTCAGTTGAGTGCTCATAAAGTAGTCATTCATACCACCCTTCCAAGGCTCAGGAAACAGGCAGAAAAGGGAGCAGAAAGAAAGAGACAGAAGACAGGGAGAAGGACTAGGAAATGCAAGCTTCTGGCACAACACAGCCGTCGCTACCATCATCACACAACTGTGGTTGCCTGCACAGGGGTCTGCACGGAACTGTACAAAGCCAGGCCTGTCAACAATCAATCATGGGTCAACAAGGTTCTCACTAGGCCTACCCCTCCCTGCTAAGCTATTGGCTGCTGATGGATTCTGAGGGAGACAGTCTCTATCTTCAGTTGTGCACCCACTGATGAGCCCAATAGGCTCCAATGGATAGTTATAAATCATGGTCACACAGGTGGCCCTGGTTAAGCTCAGTGGGTCAGAAAACAAAACAAAAAGCCATAAATATGGGAAAGGCACTTGCAGGGAGGAGGGGGAGTTGACAGGGGTGGGAAGATAAGAGGGCGTGGGGATGAGAGCAATTAGAACATGTTATATACATGTATGACACTGTCAATGAATAAACAAAATTTTGAAAAAGGTGATGCAGAACATTGCCTTGTTTATTATAATTATTATTACTATTATTATTACCACTTTTGCTGTTGCTTCTATTATTATTATTAAGGAAGTTTCTGGCCATACCCAGATCCACATTAGTGCTAGTACAGTTTAACTTCAGTGAATCATAAAGTACCATCTCAACTCTCATTGCAACATAGTCAAGTCTCCAAAAAGTGAAGCCGGTACAAGTTTGCTACTCATTTCTTGAAATGAGAGGAGAAAGGGAATCTCTGAAAATTTTTCTTTGGGATGAAGCTAACTAGCACACATTTACTACAATCCCAATACACTAGTTTCCGCATCTAGCATAATGGACCGTGAAACATCACAGGTGGCCTGCATCAGGCCCAGCAAGCGGCAGCGAAACCCAGCACTTTGCTCCACAGTCTTATACTGCCCTCTGCAGCCTGACTGTGGTCTCCACACCCTCCGCAGTCAGTTCAGTGTCAGGACTTGGGACGCCCTGCAGTACTTCAGGTCAGGTCACTACCTTCCTTTGCTGTGAAGACAAAAATAAAATGAAGTGCCATTTAATTTGTTGCCAGTGTCGGTGCGCTTACATGCATTGGGAACTACCTTTTTAAAAATCTTTTTGAGACAGGGTCTACCCATAGCCCCAGCTGGCCTGAAACTCGCCATGTAGACCAGACTGGTCTTGATCTCAGAGAGATCCACCTGCTTCTGCCTCCCAAGTGCTGGGATCAAAGGTGTGTGCCACTGCTGCCGCCACCACCACACCCAGCAAAATACTTTTAAAAGAGCATAAAGAACATTTATTTTAGTGAAAGGATTTTATTAGGAACACATGGTTCCTCAGATAGATCTGATGTGCTCACCCCTGCCTCCCCCTCTAGCCCATCACCACTCTACAAAGCAGCATGTATCCCATGAAGAAAAGAAGGAGGTGGTGTCTAGGCAAAAACTATATTTGGATGAAAAGATAGATAATCTAAGGAAGGAAAGAGAATTCTACAGCTTCAACTTATCTCATAAGAAAACTCTTTAACAGATGTATATGCTGAAAGAACACCAAATCCCTGTCTTAAAGCTCAAAATAAATACATTCATAAAGACTAGAAAAAGTTTACCTGTCTTAGAGTATATCTTTTCTAGAATTTATATATTTATATGCATGTGTATGTATATGCACATATTATGGTGCATGGGCTTAAAGAAACACAGTATAAATCCCCTTGGAAAACTTATAGCTTGACAGATGTTCTAAAAGAAAATGTTCCGTGCCCCACAAATATCTTGAGCAAGTATGTATTGTAGAAAGTTGTCTCTGTGAAAGCACTTTCCTGAGAAAGCAACTTAAGACCACAGGCAAGTGAGTGATTACACACCACTCTGTGTGAAGTTCTTGAGTCCCCTTTCAACCAGGCAGTTAATCCAGAGTTCAAACTCAACTCATGGAGACTGAAACGTTGGAAGAAAATAGATGACAGTCTGATGAGGGCAGAAGGAGATCTTCACCTGAAGAAAGGGGAGAAAAAGACAATGCCCAAGTTGGGACCCTTTGGTGATGGGGTCAAAGAGAAGTTGCCAAAAGTATGCAATACTCAAAACTCATCCGCTTCAGCCCAGGTCAAGAATTCTTAAGACATTGCACCAAAGCTCTTCCATCTGTGTCCAAAACCAACCTCTCGTGTCTTGAAGCTTCCACTGCCCCAACCCAGGGCTGCCTGGCATGGTTATCCTGTTTCTCCTGCCCTCTACCCTCTCCAGCATCTGCTGGCCCATTCTTGTAGCCCTGCCTTTCCTTTAAGGCCTGCTCCAAACTCTGGTGACAATCTGGAAGATCACGCCAATCCATTATATTCTGCCTGAAACATCTATTGCTCATTTTTGTCCACTTCTGTAGAAGCCACACTGCATAGCAAACTTGGAGGCACATCCCTCAGTGCACTGAGGGTGCTGCCACCTGCCCGAAGTGGTTCCTTGACTCACACTCCCTGAGCAAGCTGCCTTATGACCACATCAGATCAAGGATCCATAGAGCCGTGGTAACCTGCTCTAAGTAGTGACCAGCATGTCCAGCCTGGATCCAGACATTCTCTGGGCAGTTGATACATTTTAATTAAATGAATGAACTAGCAGGAGAAAACATGGACAGTGACTGCCTGAGGTCACATAAGCTACAAAATATGTCAATTCACAGATAAACTCCAGCCAGTCAGCAAACAGAAAGATACTGAGAGGCACATTTGAAGTGATTTGATAGCTCTGCCCCTTGCTTCTTTGCCCATTGCACAATCACGGTCACAAAAGGCTAGTGCAATTATCCATAGCTTACACACACAAACACACACACACACGGAGTCACTCCTCTGGCAGTGACTCATCTGTCTGGAGTTTCTGAAACATCAGTATCTCACCATTTACCAGAATTCGCAAAGGATTATCTAAAGGTAAAGACATTTGAGAGTACATAGCTAGTGAGACTTGAGAAATGACTGAGTCACCAAAATCAAAGACTAGAAAGTCATTGAAAATGCAAGAAATAATTTTCCTCCCCTCTCAAATTTGTCTCTGGGGATGTGCTGCATTTTCTTGTGGATGTACTGCATTTTCTTCTTTCTCCCTTCACCTTTCTACCCTCCCAAAATACAGTTCAATGTTTCAAGTGTCCACATAAAGTCTTGGTTCCATTAGACATTACAGGGGTGAGTAGTCACATGACTCAGCACAGGGGTAACCCATGGGTTGAGGCACCCTGGCTGTTGGACTGGATAGACTTCTCAAAACACATCTACCACATTAACACTTACATATTATTAGAGGGTAAAACAATGAATACAAATTATGTATTAGTCTAAAACTAAATTTGCCTTATATGTGTCTAAACTTAGCAGTTAGGAGGTATATTGCAGACTGATACATTCTACTCTTCAATGATAAAAATAAGCTGTACTCAGTGTACTCACCTAAAGTCTCCAAAGGACAACATCCCAGAACCACTTTTATGCAAAGATGAAATGTTTGTGTAGGGGTTTTGAGGAAACCTGTAAAGGCGGCAGCATCACGCTAGACAAATAAGAACAGCAAGAAAAATAAAAAAATAAATAAAAGTGTGAGTGTTAACAGGAAAATGAGAAGGTGGTGGTTACAGTTCTTAAAAAGAAGGTTATTTTCAAATGCTTCTGGAAAACGATGTGTCAAAAGCCCTAAGTACTCATAGCCTAGGGATTTATTCCAACTAATATTTCCCCAAGAAAGAATTTGTGGTGTGAATATACTCATTGTGATGTTATTTTTTGATAGTAAGAAATCATAAACTTTCGAAGTTGCCAGTAAAAGGAAAGATTACATGCAAATTATAGTAATAATATATGCACTTGAAGATTGTACATCTATGGAAAATGCTCATTATAAGTATTAGGTGATAATTTGAAAAAAATGCACATAAAATTCAAACCTTCCAAAAATAAGTTATAAAAGTCTACAAATACTATCATCCAGCCCATATTAAAATGTGTTTCTATGGAACAAAATAAATATACAATTGTTATGATTGAAGAAACTTTTTTGACAGAATCCCCATTTCACAGACTTTGTATGAGGCTACAATAGTATTTAAATTTTTAGTTTCATTTGCATTCAGTATATGGCACTGGTGTCCGGTCTTCAGCGTTCAGTCTTTCTCTAGAATGGGTCTTTTTCTCAGAAATGGAACTTTCAGGAACAAACTGAAGTTCCCGCTCTCCAGGAAAGCTCCCAGCAGCCCAAGCTCCTGAGTCAGCGACACGTCTCCGCTGGAACCTCAGCCCCTGCGTTTTTGAGCTTGAAAGCAACTTGTTGAATAGACACGGATCCTGGAAGCTCCAAACCAACCAAGAAAAAAACCCAGTAGCAGATGGGTTTGCCTTACAATTTTCATTTGTTTTCTCTACACATCAGGAGAGGTTATGTTATTAACTGGGATAGTGACTAATACTTCACTTTAGAAAATGCCTGCTTGGGAGTGTGGCATTCACTCAAGAGAAATATAACATCTTTTATCCCAGGGAAAGCTTTATCAGGATGGGTGTAATTTCCATAAAGGACCCCTTCTGTCTTAAAACACAAGCCTCCAATACATGGTAAGATGAACTAGACATTATTTCCTTCACAGCACAAAAACTCCTTTCGCCCACCCCACAATCCATTATGCCTTTTATTAAGGCCCACGAGTGTCTCTAGCTTATTTATTTAGGAAACACTGTTATTGTCTTAATGTAAACCCAACTCAAGATCAGTTGACAGTTGGAACGATCCAGCAGAAAGGTTTTCAAAGGCGCCTCCCTTGGAAAGGGGTCTCTCCATTCAGCCCTAGTTCCTGTATCATACTGCCAGCTCTGTTCACAAAATAAACAAATGTTTGTTTTACAACATGGCAAAGGAGGCTCCCATTCATCGTGAGCCAGATATGAAAACAAACCTTCACATATAAGGGCTTTTGATACACATGACTTACTTGGATGACAAGGGGCTCACTGGGGAGCGCTTAAAGCTTATTAATATTGCACAAAAGACTTTTGTTTATCATTTCGCTGGACTGCCTGGGAATCACAAGACGCAAGCCGCCCCCCGGCTGGTGTCCTGGCATTTCACAGTCTTAACGTGTGGAGACTGTGAACGTTTTGCTGGTTTGGAGCCAAAAACAAACTCTCCACAGACCCAGGTGGAAGAACTCTGAGAACGACTTGAATTTAAGAGCAAAGGGACAAGAGCTCCCCCTACAGGTAGAAAATATCTAGACTCCTTGGGTCACTTTCGAAACCCTGGAACCCATTTCCCTTCCTGTTTAAAAAGTCTGGGTCTACTAGCTCTACTCCCAGCAAAAGGCTCCTGCTGAAAAACCAGTTCCTTAGGTACTTATTTGTTAACCCAGAAAGGACGTGAGTAGAGACAACCCGTGTCCTCTGTACCTGCCCCATTCCAGTACGGTAGCCGCAAGCCCCTAGTGGCTTCAGTTGCTTAAAGTACTAGATCAGTTAGAGAGGGGCTGTAAAAGAACATAAATTAACATTTTTTTATATCAATCACATGTTGAAACGGTAATACTTGTAATATATTGAGTTAAATAAAATATACTAAAGTCAGTTTCACCTGTGACTTTTTTCCCCTTTTTTTTGGGGGGGGTGGTATTTGTTTTTCTCCCTGTAGCCTCAGCTAGCCTGGAACCCGCTATGGAAACCAGGCTGGCCTCTACCTCACAGAGCTCCACCTGACTCTGACTCCCGAGTGCTGTAACTAAAGGCTAGACGTGCACTACCACAGGGGCCCTTTTTCTGTTTTAAATGTGGCTACAAAAAAACAGTAAAATTTCATGTGCATTATATATTTCTATTATTGCAGCTCTAGACAACTGGTATATTAAATAATTGCAATACTTTGAACCTGTAGTATGCTAGTTGAGTTGATTGGGGTGGTTTTTTTTTTAGCTTTTTGTTTGTTTTTCTGTTGCTGGGAACTGAATCCATTGTCTCAGGCATACCAGACCAAGTCCCCCACCCCTTCCATCCACCTGTGTGTTTTTTGGTTGTCGTTCTTGTTCCTTTCAATTATATACCTGAATCTCTTAAAAAACAACAACAACAAAAAGAAAAAAGACTTTCAAGTAATGCAGCCCTGTAAGTTTTAGTTTGTTTTTCCTAAAGTCTGATCAAAATATTGTCTTTAACTTCAAGATCACACATGCTCAGAAGTTTCAAAAGTAAGTAAGGGTTTATTTTCTTTCCACAAACTACATCAGTGTCCTTAGTACACCCTTAGTTTTTTAACCACAGTTTGTTTCAAAAGAAAGAAATTCCTTCTACTAGAATAGCCTTGGAAATTTGTTTTCAGGTCACTAGACAGCAGATATTTGCTTATTCCCCTTTATAACTGGCAACCTCACCCATCTAATCAATCTCCTTTGTAAGCAATCTTTAAGCTATATGAGATAAGTGGGATTATGTGAGAAATATGTGCCTGTAGGGTCAGCCCATCTAATTCCTCACTAGTTAGACAATGACTGAAAACCCACTAGCAATGGGCAACATTGCCACCCTAAATATTTCTTGTGATTATTGTTATGATTCTCTTCCTCTTCCTCTCTCCTTCTTATCCTCCCACTCCGTCAACTCTGCCTTCTTCCTCCTTTTTCTCTATTATCAAGGCATCTTTTTATCCATCAGATAAAGAAACCAGCATTTGTTGAATACCTTCTATAGAAAGTATCTGACCTATTCTTTGCAAAAGTCTCCAATTTGTGTGTTGCAACTTACGTGTCCATGTGAGCTGCCTTTATTCCTGGTATAAGGTAGGAATTAGTGAAGTAAAACTGTTAAAAAAAAAAACACTATAAAAGCAATTGATTTGAAATGAACAGTCTGTTTTGTGTTCCTAGCCTTACAAATTCATGATTTCTTTCCTTAAAGTCCATTGATTTGAAAGTCAGACAAATGCTAACTGTTGTCAAGGAATCAGGACTAGAATTGCCATCCTAGTTTATGAAGTAGACCTAAATAGTACCAGATACATTTGGCACAATTGTTCAGATTTGTCCTCTACTGTCCAACCCACCCTTAAAAACATTAGCAGAGAATACTCAGTTTTACTAGGTATGCTGCCTCTGATTTGTTCTTATTTTAGTATCCAAAATATGCAAAGTTATCACTGAAAGATTAAGTACCTCTATGAAGATATGGCAGGTTAGTGGTTATGAGATTCCTTTTGAAATCATCCCTATAATTTAGCTTTAAATTTTTATCAAAAGTGGATACAGTATTATAAACCACACAGACAAATTGATGCTCCTAGAATATAGATGCTATAAACCAGGGAAATAACCCATGTCCTCTTCTATCAGAGGGCATCAATCAAAGGTACTTGAGATTAGCAAAGCAAATTGCATCTTTTTTCTATTTTATGTGTTTGAGTGTTTTGCCTGCGTGTATATATTGTGTACCCGTGTTGTGCAATGTTTGTGGGACCCAGAACAGAGCATCAGATCCCTGGAATTGGAATTACTGACCACTGTTAGTTGCCATGTGGATGCTGGGAACTGAACCGGGGTCCTCTGCAACAACAGACAGTGCATCTACCGTCTTTGATGTTACAGATGAAACTGCTGGTGTAAAGAAATTCAAATGAATAAGCACTTCGGTTACAGGTAGGAACCAATGTGGGATTCTACTCAATAGCTACAACGAGGAAAGTTTAACCCAGTTCTCAGAGAGGACTCTTATCATTTTCCCACAGAGAGAAATGATGGCTCTGGGATGAAGAGGTTGGGACTCTACCACATGAAGTGTGGATCTGGGCTACAGTGTGCAGAGCTCACTATGGTGGGACAGGATATTCACTGGAGGCATTTACTGGTATGATTTTTCCATCTGACCTTATTTTTCTAGTATGGCTGCCAGCACCTTATAATCCAAGTATTGTACTCACCAGCAATTTCTCTGCTCATTAGCAGAGGCTGAGTCCAACTTCGTCCTTGCAGGGGCTTGTGAATCAACATAGACCAACAGTGTTTCCAGGATCTAACTGCATGGAAACAAGGATGCTACTCATTGCATGGAAGGCATCTGTATCAGTTAGAAATTGCATTTGACTGCCACTAGCAGGGCCTAGAAAGGACAGTGATTAGTACATTGGCTTTAATCTCATGTAAGGAAACCCAGAATTACAGGGCAGGACCATAAGAGCAGGCTTTCTCTTTCTTGATGCACATGGTTTCTGTCTTCAAGGTTACACTGTGTTCTGACATGGGTGTTTGTAAGGGGCTCCAGTAGTCACCTCCTTAGCTAGAAATGAAGAATTGGGAAGAACAGAGCGACTGCACATCAGCTACTGTTCCCTTCTCTAGCAGTGTTCATGGAAGGCTCACTCAACAGCCCCTTAATGTAATTTGCTAACGTATCACTACAAGGGAAGCCAAGCACAACATCCCTTGAATAAAATCCAGTTTCCACTGCAAAAGAATAAGGGGTGAATAAAATTAATATCAGACCAGTGACTACCTGACCCTCAAGTTTGCTGCTGCAGCAAAGAGCAGAGGACTTGCATCCAGCCTAGGATGCTTGTCTCGGCCTTCAAAACCAAGTCAATCATGAACCCACAACAACTGAGCCACAGTATAAGCTGTGGTTTATGTTTCCTGTTAGGTCCCTGAATCTGTTTCTTTGACCCCATAAACTCCCTCCATATGAAAGGCATTGTTCTTGATTCTATCACTGTCACATTGACAGCATCAACATCCTATTTATGAACTCAATAAAAAGCAAATTAAGCCCCGTCACTGAGTGAAGATTCCACCATCTCTGTTGTACTTAATGTGGCTAAGGAAAAATGTTGCACATGTTCCCATGCACGACACAAAAGTGATAGCACAGCTGCAGCAGCTACCGAGGTCATGCACACTCAGATTTTCACAAGGGCCTGGCTCTGTGGAGTGAACATGTGGTTTGGTTACAGGGTGGACGGTGATAGTATGGTGATGGTGGTGACAACCTGTGTGACAATAGCACTCTTGGGGTGATGACCACAAAGACAACAGTTATGGTAAGTCAAATAATAAACCATTTTCACTCTTTTGTCTGTGGGTACAGTGTCACAGAGTAGATCCCTCCAATTTCTACTGATCTCTGCTTTCTACTATTCTTCACTGTTTAGAGGCAAATTCATAGTACTTGCTCTTTCTTCCCTTGACCAATCACACACCTAAAAGCGCGATTTTCTTCATCTTAGCACTTCTCCCCAATGAGGAGCTCTACACAGACATGCCGCAGGGCTGCCCCCTTGGGTTCTAAATTTCATCTAACTCCTTCATCCTTAAGATAAGACCATCGCTTGAAACTGAAACAGACATTTTTCAAGGAGAGTCTTCTATATAGCTCTCTGAAATCCTCACTCAAGATCTGAGGAAACTCATTCTTTAAGTAAAACTGAAGAACTCCCGTACCTCCACGTTAAAACAATCGTGTCACTAAAAGAGTCTGACATCAGATTCCTAATTCCAGTTTGTAATCTATCTCTGTTGAATCATTCACCATTTAAAATGTGAAAATTTCTAGCATAAATACACCATGTCTCAGCAATCAATCAACCAGCAGAAGCATCCCATCCTCCAACTGTTTAAGCTGGTAGCCCACGAGTGCTGGCATTGGAGAAGACGGTGCAATGGTGATGTGTGTACCGACAGCAAACATTTCTGTGTATTACCTGCTCCATCCTTACTGTTATAGGTATTTTTTTTCCATTTAATCTTAAGAATTATCTAGTAATTTCCTGGGATGTAGAGAGGCTAACTAATGTGAGCCACTGCTTGAAACTGAAAAACAAAGCTCAAACACAGATGCATTTCTAAATCCTCTACACAATAGGCTACACTGTTTCTTAGACACGAAGGGTAACAAGAACTGCTAGTCTTACAGCCAGGAAAGTATCAGGAATTCCCAGCATAGAAGCTGCAAAGCACATCACATCAAAAGCTCCCTGAAAAGGATGTGATGGAGCCCCATTCAGACATGGGCTCTGCTTCTGTGTGTGTGTGTGTGTGTGTGTGTGTGTGTGTGTGTGTCTGGGTGTCCCATTCAGACATTGGCTCTGCTTCTGTGTGTGTGTCTGTGTGTCTGTGTGTCTGTGTGTCCCATTCAGACATTGGCTCTGCTTCCGTGTGTGTGTGTGTGTGTGTGTGTGTGTGTGTCTGTGTGTCCCATTCAGACATTGGCTCTGCTTCTGTGTGTGTGTCTGTGTGTCTGTGTGTCTGTGTGTCCCATTCAGACATTGGCTCTGCTTCCGTGTGTGTGTGTCTGTGTGTCCCATTCAGAAATTGGCTCTGCTTCTGTGTGTGTGTGTGTGTGTGTGTGTGTGTGTGTGTATGTGTCCCATCCAGATATAGGCTCTGCTTCCCTGCGTGTGTGTGTCTGTCTGTCTGTCTGTGTCTGTGTCTGTGTCCCATTCAGACATGGGCTCTGCTTCCCTGCCGGTGTGTGTGTGTGTGTCCCATTCACACATGGGTTCTTCTTGTGTGTGTGTGTGTGTGTCCCATTCACACATGGGTTCTTCTTGTGTGTGTGTGTGTGTGTCCCATTCACACATGGGTTCTTCTTGTGTGTGTGTGTGTGTGTCCCATTCACACATGGGTTCTTCTTGTGTGTGTGTGTGTGTGTCCCATTCACACATGGGTTCTTCTTGTGTGTGTGTGTGTGTGTCCCATTCACACATGGGTTCTTCTTGTGTGTGTGTGTGTGTGTCCCATTCACACATGGGTTCTTCTTGTGTGTGTGTGTGTGTGTCCCATTCACACATGGGTTCTTCTTGTGTGTGTGTGTGTGTGTCCCATTCACACATGGGTTCTTCTTGTGTGTGTGTGTGTGTGTCCCATTCACACATGGGTTCTTCTTGTGTGTGTGTGTGTGTGTCCCATTCACACATGGGTTCTTCTTGTGTGTGTGTGTGTGTGTCCCATTCACACATGGGTTCTTCTTGTGTGTGTGTGTGTGTGTCCCATTCACACATGGGTTCTTCTTGTGTGTGTGTGTGTGTGTCCCATTCACAAATTGGCTCTGCCTCTGTGTGTGTGTGTGCCTGCGTGTGAGTGTGCATGTGGGGGGATGCGTGTGAATGTGCTTGTGTGCTTGTGTATGTGTACATGTGTGCATGTATGTGTGTGTTAATGTGTGCATGTGCTTTGTTTTTTTTCCCCTATTCTGCTTGATAAAAGTTCACACTGTTGCACAATCCGTCTCAAACTCCTGGACTCAAGTGATCTTTACACCTCTGCCTCCCAAATAGCCGGTGCTGTGGTCATAAGGCACTGCACTCAGCTTACATGGCTATTACTAAACAAAATAAAACCTTGAAATATCTGTTAACTTAGAGACATCTCTCTAATTTTTTGTAACCAAATTTAAGGAAACCATGATTTGGCAACTTTCTATAATTTGGGAACACAGAAACAATAACTCAAAGTACAGCTTTCTTTTCTTTTATCACCTGTAGACCTCATGGGGCAAGGGGCAGATGGTAAATATAGGGGAAGCTAGTCTATTTTGAATGCTTATTTACAGAGCTACATTCATGCCATCCACCAAACACCATCTGCTGGGCTATTTCTTCTGCGAAACCACAGCATTTTGTTCCATTGCAAATAAAAGTGCAACCAGAATTATGTCAGCATGCTGTGTTTCGGAGAACACCAGCACTTTCCAAGACCAGTTTTAGTCCCTTTCCAAGTTCAATGCAGAGAAGACTCACCTAAGCACAGGAACCCAGTCAACACATTCATTCATTGCTTCACAAACTCCCTTTGAAAGAAAGTTGGCCCATGTGGGTTGGCCAAATGTGGGAACTTAATTTTACCACGTGAATTGTTTTCACCCTGGGCCAAGAGACAAATATAAGGTACTATGTGATCTGGGTCGGATTTAGTAATCTCTTGGAATTAGAGAACATGAGGGTATTTCTGAAAGGAGTCCTAAACCCCTCTGACCCCCTCCTCCTCACCCACTAAAACTTCCAAAGAATGTCTTTCATATGTGCATTATTTCTTCAACATGCCTCTTGTACCTGTCCTTGAATCTTGTTATCCCTGGGTCAAGGGTAGTCAAGTTCAACCTTTAAAAAACAGCACACAAAAATATTATTGAATAGGTTAATGCTGTTGTAATGAAATGCTTCTTCTAATTAAAAAAAAAGAGAGAGAGAGAAAAGCAGTTTGTAGAATATGTGTAGTATAAGCCCGTTTACATAAAAATTCTATTCATGCACCTATAAAAACAAAAAACAAAAAAAAACAGCACACAGTGAGACAATCAACACAGAAAAATCCAACCTCCACTTATTTTTTTTTTTTTACAAATGCCAAGACCTATTGAATATTCTTAAACAGAAGAAACTGTAGAGGAATCAGGAGACCCCAACCATATTTCCACCTCTGTCACTGACAAGTATGTGTGGATTTGGACAAACTGCTTCATCTCTCTGGCACACAAGTTGCTTGTCCTAAGATGAGGTGGGACTACAATAAATGCCTCACAACAGGCCCAAAGGCCAGAGCCTTATTTCTGCCAGTTAAGTAAAACCTCCGAGTGAGTATTGTACCTGCAGGTACGGAAGGAAGCACTGAGTGCCTCAGAAACTGTGAACTAAAGTTCCCAGAAGAACAAGCCACACCTTACATGGAACCATCTGCAAGGCTGACCAAGTGATAAAACTTTCAATGGTTGTGGAGAGTTTGGAATGTTGTGGGTCCAGAGCCTAATTACACTTTGTCTCTTTAGTTCCCTAATAGCTATTCCTTGCCCATCTCCATGCTTGGTCTCACACCCTTGTGACTATCAGGTGAAATTTTGAAATGTATTAACAAACCATTAGTTTCTACCAATTCAAAAGTTTAAAATGGCATCACATGGTATCTGAGGCCTCCAGCAGAGGTATCCAATTTTGCTGTAACCTCGCCTACCTATTCTACCCACAAATTTATTTGGAAAGCATGTTATTTATGAGTTTCTTTGTTCTGTTACGATAAAAACTTCATCAAG